CCGCCGCCGCCTCCCCCGGGGCGTTTCAGGCGCCCCAAAAGCGCTCTGGGGACACTTGGGGAGCTGTTTGTATGGCACTGATCCAGCCCTGGAGAGGCGGTGGGAGCCCCACGGTCTCTGTGGGAATGACTGAGCTCAGAGCGATGAGAATTTATTTTAAAATGCTGCAAATCGCCCTCGGAGCAGCTTCCGGACGAGGAGTTAGTGGCTGCTGTGGAGGAAGGAGCTGCCCAGAGCAGCTGTGGCTGCTCCTGGGTCCCTGGCAGTGTCCCAGGCCAGCCTGGGACAGTGGGAGATGTCCCTGCCCATGGCTGGGGTGGCACTGGATGGGCTTTAAGGTCCTTTCCCACCCAAACCAGTCGGGGATTCCGTGATTGCTGCGCTGGCATTAATCAGGATGGCTCTGCCATCAGCCTCGGCCACCTGCCAGCTGGGAACAGTGACAGTTCGTGTCCTCTTCAGAGTAAATCACAGCTTAATCCAGCCATGAGATGGTTTCAGCCAGCCATCATCTGAGCTGGGTGATACATCGGTGCCTGTGCACATTTACTTCTAAAGAAAACACAAACCAACATCCTTTCTTTGGTTTTTCACAAAAAAAACCCACGCAAAACTATTAAATTTCACTGACATGAACATTGAGTTCAACAGCTTCGTCCTCACTTGGAAAGACAGAAGACAGCGTGGGTTTGTGATAGAAGTAGTGAAAATTCTGTATCTGAAATATTTTCTTTTAAATTTCAGAAACAGACAGAGAGATGCTGAGCTTCTCTACGAGGTGATTTGTCCACCTTTCCCTCATAAGACAAAAAGCCCAGCAGATCTCTAGGAAGGTAAGATCAGTCTCCTGTCCAGGTAAAGGGATTCTGCTATTTAGATGCAGTGCAAATTCAGGTGGTAACAGGTTACCCTCCATCCTCAGCCCTCCCTTGCTGCAATCTCCTGCTTTATCGATCCAATACCACATTTTCCTCCCTGGCCAACAATAGATTCTGCTTTAATACCACTAACTCCAACATTTGTGTCTATTTCAGTGCCATTTTAAACACTCTGTCTCTGGCAATAACACCTCGTTTGTAGCATTCCTGTAACACTCCTGACATCAGTGGCACATCTTTGTATCAGCACTTAAAACACTTGTAATATAACCCACTAACCCTTGAATGGTGGATGTTAACAAAGTACCACCACATTGATCAGAAATTCTGGGAGTTAAGGAATCCAGGGATTCAGTGAAGTGCAGCTCCAGCACTGAGGCTGCTCTTTGGCTTGTGTGTCTTTTCTCCCTTTGTGGTTTGGGATCCAAAGAGATTCATTTAAAGTATCCTGAGGGTCCTCTGCTCCCCGTGGACTGTAAATCCATCTGGAGGGTGTTAATTAGGCTGGCAAGCAGTCGATTAAGCTCAATTGCTGCTTTTCTGTGTCTCTTAGTGCAGTTCTGCATCCCAGACATGGTGCACTGTGGCTGAGGGATGACACCTCCCACAGCAGAGCATTCCCAGCTATTAGCAGAGGGCTCAGATGTCTCAGAGAAGCTCAATTTCAGTAAAAAACCAGCACTAGTCAGGCCACCAAAAATTCAATGATTTTCAGTTTGTGTCCCCCCACCCTTCTCTGGATTGCAATTTCAAGCTCTTCAAAATATTTAATGCTGTATATTTTTTTCCAAGCCCTGTAAAATGAAGTTTTAAAAGTAAATTGCACAATTCCTACAACTGACCCCAAATATGTGGAGACTCCTGTGAAACTGGGAGCATTTTAGTAGAGCAAGCCAGAATTCCATATGTTTTACCACAATCTTTTATTCAAAGTTTCATTTTACCACAATCTTTTATTCAAAGTTTGGTTTCATTTGTCTCACCTGAAAGACAAATAGAATTAAACAGACATGCAACATTGCCTGTGAAAAATGAAGCAGTTGTTTATAGTGCAAGAGTGTAAAGCTTGATTTATTTACACATTTTAAGGTGAACAGGAGAACGTTGTAGGCAGATCATTTTATACATTCAGCTGTGCTCCACAGAGTTAGGTTACACAGAAAATACACACTGAGGATGTTTTAAGTGCTCTGGTGCATCGAGAAGCCACACAGGGTGGAGGCAAGAGATGTCAGTTCACAGTGGGTAAAGAGCCCAAGGGATGAATCCAAGGAGCTGGAACAGCTTCTGGTGCTGAGAAACCCTTCCCATTCGGAATCTGGGGGTGCAAGGCCATGTGCAGGGTCCTGCATGAGCCCTGCAGTGTTGACATTCACTGATCAGAGTGTGCTGCACAACACTTAAATCATTTTTCACCCTGGAATGTGAATTTTTCACCTGTGCTGCTGTAAATATTTGCTGCAATTCCAGGCATGGCCATTGTCACCTCAGACTAACAAATATTCTGTGAAAAGCTCAGTGTGAGGGTGCAAAACCCTTCCCATTTCAGCTTCTCTGGACCAGAAGGGAGGTGAAGAGTTTAATTCACTCCTGAAAGAGTCAGAAGGAGCACAGAACTCCTACAGTCAAGTTTAAACAAGATCCTTGGTTTCTCTGGGCCCTGCTCGTGCCTTTTCCCATACTGAACAACAGAAAATAACATTTTTAGAAGATTGGGAGAAAAAGCAAGAAAGAGGGAAGTGCATAAAATAAAAAAAAACCAACAAAACCAACCCCATTTTGAGATTCCAGTGTTGAACAGCAGCAGCAAAAAGGAGTGAGGTGCAGTCCCTCAGTCCTACCCCTACATCAATCATGGAGCTGAGGCCCATGGCCCAAGGAACACCCCAGGCTCCACTGCTGTGGCACAATAATCAGAAATATTGTGATTTATGTGCTGTAGAAACAGACACCACCTCCAGTGGAGGCCTCTGGCAGGAAGTTTCCAGAAGCAAACAAAGAGAGATCTCCCTGTGGCTGCAGGTAAAAGGAACTGTCATTGTTAAGTAGAATTATTTGAGCACACAGGGACTGTGTAAATAAAACATGGTTATGTAAAGATTTGGAGTATGATTGCCGTTGGAATCTTTGCAAAGAAAGGGCCAAACCCACACAATAACACAAAAGCTCAGCTCGTGGCTGGGGGCAGTTTCACTCAGAGAAGGGCTGACACCTGAGGGCTCTGTGCAGGCAGCAAGGTCAGGAATTTGGCTCAGGAGAACTGGGGAGTTTGCAGCAAAACCACCCCTGAACCAGGCCAGAGAGCAGCCTGCAAGGGAGGCACAGCCACCTCACCATCCCCTGACACATCTCAGGATGGCAGGGCCTGTGCTGAGGAGGAAAACCCAAAGCAGGCATTTATGGCTGCCAAGTCTGGGCTCCAGTCACCTGCTGGGTTTAAACCCTGCAGAGAACTGGGACCAGTGCACTGTCACACACAGGACCATCCTGATCTGCATGTCAGCAGCCAAAGGTTTAGACCCTCCTGATGAATTATTTTATACCACCTAATTAACCACACAGAATACTGCCATGGAACTAGAGTGTGGGGTAGCACAGCTTGTTTTCAGACTGTTCTGTGCCTGCAGAACCAATAGGTCAGAACAGGTTGATTAAATGGGAAGAGATAAGGAAAGAAAGCATTCCCATTCAGCCTTCCTGCACTGCTTCATTCTGCGTTGTTAGTGAACAACAGCTGCCCATAAATTCACCAACAATCGATGGCCACATCCAAAGGCAGTAAATCAGTGTCACTGCACCCCAGCAAGATGAATGCTCTGGCAGCAGGAGCCCATTAACATCCATATCTTGCTTAATCACAACTAAAGTATTGAGGGTGAAAGGAAAGCTGATATTTCTTGAGGTTCCCTAAGTTCCAGTGCAGGGGATGCCACTGATAAGATCTGAATTGTGCCCAGCTGGTGAAGAAACCTGGGTACAGCCCCAGGGCACCTCCCCTGTGCAGGGAGAAGGTTATTTTTCTAAGCTGCACAAAAATTCTAAAGCAATCCAAAATATGCCCAGATTGAATCAATCTGCAGAGCTGGCAAAGCAAACAAATGCAAAGGAACAGTTCTGTTGTCCTTTACAACAACAAGAACCTGGAATAATCATGTACAGGTCAGGGGAGTTGGGAATTTCTGGCAGTGGGAACAGAAACTGGCCATGAGTCAATTTAACAAATAAAAATAAAAATAAATAAATGCAGAAAGACACTGTTCCAAATCTCAGATAATCCCAAACTCCCTTGTATTTGTGGAATCACTTAAAAATATAAAGAACACGAGCACTATTCCTTTCAAATAAAGTTCTAGGTCATGGAAATTCTACTGTGCAGACAGCCCAAGCTGCACTGAGTGGACTTAAAATTCAGTTTCCCAGAAAAAAACCCCAACTTTAGAGCAGCCAGTGGTATCAGTGTCAGGATAATCAGTGAATGTTGTACTTTGTCCTCATCACTTGACAGTTCCCCACTCTCCCCCCCTGTGTCCATTCTCCCTCAGTATCAGCTCCTGGCCATCTCCTGGAAGCTGGAAAGATAAATATCAAAGTACACAAAGCTCTATTATCCTCACAGGCCTCAGTGAGTGCTGGGCTGTGCAGCTTCTCTCCTTAGCTCATCCACAATAGCAGACAAGTATTGTTTTTCCTTTTTTTAAAAGAAAAAAAAATAGGGAGAGGATCCCAGCTTACATCACCTGAACTGAGCTTTTGAACTAAGGAACTTCATCACCTTCAAGCAGTTGGGACCACTAAAGTTGGAAATCCTGCCTCAATCAGAAAGAAAATAAATAAACATGATAAAGAATTCAGATTTTGTCCAAAATTACATAAATTCACCACCAGATACAGTCACATCATTCTCATTTCTCCTTGTCCTCATCCTTTACAGTGCTCCCTCTGCACCATTTAATCCAACTTGAAGCTCTTGCTATGAAATCAGAACTGGCAAATAATCTTTGTTCTAAGCCATATAATCCAGTGATGCTCTAAAAACAACCCCCATCCTCAGTGCTTATGTTCAACAGCAGAAAAGAACTGCCCAAAATTTGTGGTTTGAAGGGATAAAGTGTTCACTCTCACCAGTTCTGCTGCTCTAAAGACACAGCAAATTCCAGTGTTGGTGCTTCAAAACAATTCCATTTATTGCCATGTCAGGGAAGCTCCATGGTCACACCAGGATTTAGAGCCTTCCTGGAAATCTGTCACAGTCCCTGTAAATGAAAGATTAAATCCTGTCCTTCTCTCTGTGTGAGCAGCTCCTGAAAACTTGTCTGGAGATAAAGCCACTCTCAGCAGGGTTGAAAACTGCACAGTCACTTCTCCTCCACAGCATCTCCTCTCTTATCAGTTCCACAGTGCTGCACTCGCCATTCCATCATTCCACACTCCCAGCCAGCAGAATTCCATGCAGAGCTGGGATCTGCTTCCTGCCAAGTGCTTTCAACTTCCAACTAGAAAGAGTTGTTTATTTTAATAATCAGCCTGGAAAGTTCAGCTGGAGACTCAAAACTCTTCTCAAGGTCGGCTTTATGCTTGCTTCTGTTCGAACAGGTAAATAAATAAAGGTCAGACTGCTGAGGACTCCCATCAGTCCTTGAAGGTCTCTCACTCCTTCTTGCTGTGCTCCAGCACCCTGTAGGGAGGGGCAGAGACTCCCTTGGGTCCGTGCTGCTCCTGCACGATGGGCAGCGTGGCTGGAGTGTAGATTTCTGGCATGCTGTCGTTGTTCTCCAGGGCACCGTAGGAGAAAGAGGCTTTGAGGTCAGGCTGCACTGCAATCCCTTTGTCGTGCATGTTTTGCATGCCTGCAAGAGCAGAGGAACAGATTAAGGACAAAAGTGCATTTTTCCTGCTCTCTGTTCAGCCAGGAAATGAGGAGTCCCTGAGGCTCATCAGCTCTGAGGGTGTTAAAT